TTGTTATAAAAAAAATTAAAGAATTTTTTAATTGTATTTCTTATTAAATATCTTTTTATTATTCACTATTTTAAAATAAAAAACCCGATTGTCCACGTGGACAATCAGGGGGGGGGGAGGGGTTCGTCAAAAATCCACGATTGTCCACGAGGGGGGAGGGGGGGTCAAAAAGTGTCTAAAAAGTGTCCACGTGGTATATGGACGACCCCTTACAATACTTCCTCTATGAGGAAGTAATTTAAATAAAATTTAATAAATTTAATAAATTAAATTTAAATTTAAATAAATTTAATAAATTAAAATTAAAATTAAATTTAAATAAATTTAATTTAATAAATAAAAATTAAATTAAAAAAAAATTTAGTTTGATAAATAAAACTTAAATTCAAATACATTCAAATAAAAAATCAATCTGAAATAAAAGATGAAATTGAAATAAAAAAAATGAATAAAAAAATTAAAGATGATTTAATTGTGATTGAATTTTTTTTATTAAAAAATGTAATTTTTTCGAAAATTACAAATTTTATGGTAATTTCATTTTTAATACGGGGTAAAAATTCAAAAATCAAATTTTGTTCAAATTGGGAGTATTCATTAAATTTTGCCACCTCTTTCTCTCAGTGAAAATGAATGGGTTTGTGTATCTAAAAACAAAAAAAAAGACAAATTAAAATCCTTTTTATTGAAATTAAATTATTACTTTACTTACTGTTTTCAGGAAGAAATTCTAATGAACGATTTGAATTTGCAAACATCCTTTTGAAATTGAAAAAACCGAAAAATTTCTTCGTCATTCATTCTTTATTCAAACACTTTTTTGCCTGAAATTATTCAAAAAAAATATTAAAAAGCAAATAAAAATGTACAAATTTAAAAAATAATGTAAACTTACCAGGTAAATAATAAATTAATAATAATTAATTAACAATATTATAAATAATTAATAATCAGTTACTACAAAACAAAATAATAATTTACTCAAAAAGATAAAAATTAAAAATTGACTTACCTTCTCGAGAGCTAAATTAATTATTCACCATCTGTTTGAGTAAAACAGGAAACAACCAAATAAATATTCAACAATATTTAGTTACTTAGTTTGGTACGATCGACTACTTTATTACATTTTTCATACAATGATTTTTCTTTTCTGTGAGTAAATTTTTTTTGTCGTTTCAAAATCTTTTTTTTAAAACTATTTATAATCAATTCCAAAACTTATTATTATTATTTTCATTTTTTTTTCTTTTGAGAAAAGCCATTTAAACAATTCACATAAGTCGATACATAATCACTGATTTGCAAAAACTAAGAACTTTCGTTTTCTTTTTGTAAACAGTAAAAAAAATGAATTCGTTTTTTCTCAAAGATTCAAATACTTAAAAGAATTCCATTCACAAAAATGAAACTTGTAACTTTCGTCGAGTTGAAAAAAATTCAAATTCTTTCATTTGCAAGTTCAATATCAAAATAAAACAAAAAAAATAAAAAGAAAAGATAAATTGTATCGAATTAATGATATTTTAAGGCAGTTTACCTGCGACAATCTCTGCCATAAGTTAATGCTACATTTCTAAAAAAAATTTACCTATTGTCAGTTCTCTACGACAGTTGAAAAATGAAAATATTTCTCAACATTTTAATCGAAAACTGTACAATAAATAAAAGCCCGAAATCATTTTAATATTTATTATCACAATTTAGTGAGTTTTCTTCAATAAACAATTAATTAATTAAAACATTAATTAATCGTTAAATTCTCGTTTAGAAAAATTTTACTTTCAATTTCTAAATTTCCCATTAATTTTAATTGCTTAAATTTAATTTTTACAAAAGTTAGAATAATCATTTTTCATTCGATCAAAAATAATTAGCAGTAACTTTTGGCAAAGTCCTTGAGAATATTTTACGATTCTTTGCTCACAGACCTTAACTTTTTTTTTTCGTTCTATAATTGTTTCCAAGTTTTGGCCTCAACGTGAAACAATTATTCGAAAGACAGGTAGACAGAAAAAGGGGACGATGAGATTCGCGGTATCGTTTCAATTAATTTACAGTTTTTTTTTCGCGTTTACGTATAAAAAATTTTCATGTATAATTATTCAATTTCATTCCATGTGTTCGCGTCATCAATTTATTATTATTATCATACACACATCGCATTCTTATATTTATAATATTTATATATATGTATACATATATATATAACTAATTATATATAGGTATACATTACACGATACTTTCCAATCGTCCCGTTTTTCGACAACATTGTGCCAATGATGCACTTTTATATATATATATATATTTATATATTTATATTTTATGTATAGAAATAAATAATATCTATGAAACGATTATATCCGAGACTAATATTACAGAAATTTACAAACCTATTTTCTAATTTTTTATTTTCTCCCAAAAAAAACATTCACTATGCACTTCATCGACATCTGTTTCTTAGATTCTTTTTTCTCTTTCCCTCCTCCTCTCACTATCTCTGACGAGTAAAATAATGCATTTCTTGACACATCAGAGAATTTATTATATAAAGAAAAATTCTAATTTATTTTCCCCCATGGAGAAAAGTTTGTAAACTTGATATTTACAGTTAACTTAGATTTTTTAAATACTAAGCCAATTTTTTTTTTTTAAATACAAAAATGTATTCTATTAATTAATAATTATTTATTATAAGAAAAAATTATTTATTTATAATAAACAATTTTTAAACATTTTAAATTTGGTATAAATTTACATCAAATGGTAAATTTTTAGTCCTTTAAATTAATTTTCTTTTTCTTCATTTTATAAAATGAAATTTACATTAAATACTTTGGTAGAAATTTTTATTTTTTTTTTTCATTAAAAATAACTTGAAAAAATTTTATTTTAAATAGAAATAATGTATTTGATTATGTTCTTTTATTTTCTACTGAAAATTTTTGAAATAAGCTCACTCTCTCTGATGTGCCTTGAAAAATCTGTATAAATAAAAAATCTTGATTTTGTTTTTAAATATATTAAAGTATTACTTTTTTTCTCTCAAAGCAAACTTTTTTTTTTCTATTTTTGTATGCATTAAAGAGACTGATAAGATTCGAGCTTTGAAAAATATTTCTTTTCTTTACAATTTAAAAATTAGTTTTTAATTTAAAAAATCAGAAAACAATACAAAATATAAAACAAACTTTTATACTTGCTAAGAATGCATCAACGATTTAAGAGTTTACTTTTTAACAACAAAGCTAAAAGATATTTCCAACTTCTTTATTTACACATAATAATAAAAATATTATGTACAATAAAAAATTCAAATTCAAATTCAATATTCAAAATATTTAAAAAAATAAATTATTTTATCAGCCCCTTTATATGATTTTGCTCAATTCATTTACTGTTTTTTTTTTCTGTTTCTTCATTTTTTTTTGTAATACAACAATAAAGAAATCAGTCTTCGAATCGGTCGATTCGCGTACAACATAAATCAAAGTTTCGTTTACAAATAATTTTTTTTTGTTTTCATTAAAATTTGCATTTAACACTGACATACATGTACAATATTTGCACTCACTCGGTTATCTCATACGTAAAATAAAACGTATACATAACAAGCAACTGAGAGAGTTTTTGCACTGAAATGCTGCGCTTGCGTCTTGTAAACTGGACCAAACCGAAGCTTTTTATTCTCAATCACAATAAGCATCGCATCATTGCAATTCCAAACAAAAACTTCGACAAATCCATTAAAGTAAAAAAAGAAAAATTCCTCAACGAAATTCTTATCTAATAGATTTTTTTTCAATCATCAATCAAATTGTCATTTTATACTTTGTCACTGTCAGTAAACTATTTTTTTTCTTTAATTTCAAATACAAAATGTTTTACTACTCGTTTTCTTCAAAATAAATTATTTTTCACTCATTTAATTGCATCTGTTAATTTATTTAGAGATTTTAGAAATTTAGAGATCGCTAAAAGAATGTTAATTAAAAAAAAAAACAAATAAAAAATACCCAGATTTTTGATTTTTTTTGGGGGTTTGAAAAAGATTTGCTTGTATATAAAAATACCTCCCACTATTGAAAAAAAAAGAAATAAAGATTAAAATATCCAAAAATGAAACATTTTAAAATGTTTTTCATTGCGAGAAAAAGTTTTTTTTTCTCATCAAAATTTTTTGATTCTAGGCGAGAGTCTAGAAATACAAACTTTCATTTTGTATATATAGTAAAAATCATTATTTCGTAGCAAGAATTTAATTAGTTAATTTTGCAATAAGATTTTGTACGTTTTAAAGCATTTTTGTCACTTGTGCAGCAAGATTGATATCTGCCTTTTTATTTTATTAACATTTAAAAATTTCTTTTCGTAGATTTTATATTTTCTTTTTCGAATTAAACTCAACATTTATACATTTTTCAATTAAAAATGCAAAGTATAAATGTTCAGTTTCAAAAGGGAAGCTCATACTGTCATTATTATAAATTAATTAATGCGTCACTAAATATCAATTTAGTCCAACAGAATTTATGTAGTCAAAAAAGAAAAAACAAGGAAATTTTTTCAATGATTCCTACTTTCTTTTCTTTACTTAATCTTTTTTAAAACTAAATTCGTAAATTTACTAAATGACTAAAATTAGTAAATTTACCAAATTACTAAATTAGTAAATTTACCGAATTACTAAATTAGTAAATTTACTAAATTACTAAATTTACCAAATTATTAAATTAGTAAATTTACTAAATTACTAAATTTACCAAACTATTAAATTAGTAATTTAGTAAATTACTAAATTTACCAAATTACTAAATTAGAAAATTTCAGGTAGAAAAGAAGTTAAAAGAATCACCAAAATTGAAAGAAATTTCCTTAAATGAAAAATCTGTATGATTATTGAAAAAGTAACCTCTATTATTTTCTATGCGAATTTAAAAAAAGAAAAGAGTAACAACCGAAGCAGGTTATAATGTCTAATTACAGACTCGTTTGTTTTCTTTCTCTCTCTCTCTCTCAACATTCTCATTCACCTTGAGAAATTCTTTCGATTCACGTTTTATTAATTGTCGATTCGAGATTACTCGTTTCCTCTTCATTTTTTTCCGCGCATTCATCATCAACATTTGAATTATTATCTTGTAGTTTATCACTCACCTTATCATTATCATCGGGACTCGCTGGAATTGGTGAACGTTCAATTTCAATTTCGGCGTAATAATGTTTATTATTGTCAGAAGTTGATTGACTGTCGTTTAAATGAGCTGGCGTTCCTTGAAGATAAAGTGGCGTTCCAGTGGGACAATAAATATTTTCAAGTTGCTCGTAAGTGCTCATTGAACCGTTGCTACGTTGACTGCCGCCTGGAATTGGTGTGTCCGCTGGGAAGAGATCGACATCAAATACTTGTTGCTCAAAATTTACAAGTCCTTCATTTTGAGAATCATTTGTTGCACACGCCGTTCTTACTGGTGGACTCTCGAATAAATCTGCTTTTGTGAAAAGATGTAAAGGCCGTTGAAAACCTTTCGACGAGTGCGATGGCATTGATATGACTTCACATTTACAGAATCCAACTTCAGCCGAGAGTAAATATTGCGTGAATTGATTTGGAAAGAATCTGATGTTTTCATAATTTCTGAATATTCGCTCCTGTTTTTTTAAAAAAAGAAAATAATATTGATGAGAATTATTTATTGTAAATATTTTAATATTAAATATTAATTTATTTGTTAATTTAAATGTTTTAATGAAAATTAGTAGTAAATATTAAATGAATATTGAATATTATATCTATATTTATATATGAGATAATAGGGTAAATGCACTAGTAGTCGGACACTTAAGGATACAATCTTAAATTATGCTTTTTTTCTAGAAATAGCAAATATCTACTGTGTTTATAAGCACATTATTAATTAAAGGAGTTCTTCAGGATTAAAAATCATATAAATTTGTTACAAATAGTTGAGTATTTAATAAAATATAAACATTTTAATAAAAAATTGCGAATGCTTTAATAGTCGGACACTTTTTCCCCTTGTTTCTATAGTCGGACATCTGTCAGATATTTAGAATTTATAAAGTAAAAAAGATAATTTTTTAATTGCTATCTGCTGGAAAATGGAATTAAAGCATATTAGAAGTTATTAATATAATATTTAAACCCTATAAGTTTTAATATTTATGATTAATTATCAACAAAACTTTGTGCCACTCATCGCGCTACTCGAAAATGGTTGTATCTATAGTCGGACACCATGATTTTTAAAACATTAAATAAAATATTTCTTGTTTAATTATTTTCGAAAATAACACTATTTTAATAAAATATAAACTTCACACATTCGTCTAGTATACTTTTTAAAGCAATTATCACAATGCATTATTATTTATTTGTCAAAAAACACGAAAGTGTCCGACTACTAGTACTGTCCGACTATACCCGCACTTACCCTATTGTAATAATAAGATAAATAGTAAATCAATAAAATGCAAAAATGGTTACAACTAAAATTGAATTATTGATTTATTATTATTAAAATGAAGAGAAAAACTGGAAATTCAAATTGCTTACTGTACGACTTTTCTTTTTTCCATAACTATTCCAATTTTGAGACTCCAATATTAAAACTCCGCCAGGCCTCAATTGAGCGAACATACGCTTGAAACTTTGTTTTAGTCCATTATCACCGAAATTCAAATGTATCCATTTTGTTGTCGAGAGGCAGAGAATTAAATCAAACTGCGGTTGCTCTAAGGAAAGTAGCGAGTCATCTTCCAGTACATAGTTACCCTGAAAACGAGAAAAAATTACTTTATAGAATTTATTTTACAAAATTATTTAATATAAAACATAATAAAATAATTACTAAATTATAAGTTTTTTCGTTTAAAATTTAATGTTTTCAATTCAATATCACGAAACTTGTAATAGTTGAATTTTTTTTAATTAAATAATTTATATTCAAAATTTAAACTATTTTCAAAAAAATTAAAACTAAAATTTTTCAAAAAAATCAGTTCTTTAGAATTTTTAATTAGTTACTGAAAATTTAGTTTTTAAAAAATTTTTAATTAAAACCTTTGAAATTTAATTCTTTACAAAAAAATTGCTACGACTAATATTAGATTATTTGCGAGAATTTTTAACTGAACTTCTCCTCGAAATTTATTGTTTTTAATAATTTTTAGAAATTTATTCAAGAAATCAATTGTTTATGAAAGTTTCAAACTGTAACAATTTTTCTAAATAAATTTTTAAGAAAAGAATCTAAGAAAAATTCACGTTTTTTAGTATTTTTAGAAGGACACAAAAAACCAGAGTCTTTGTAGCATTTCTAGAAATTTGATATTTTCCCAATACATTGGATAAAATTTCCTAACTTCTCTAATTTTCCTAAAATGCGACAACTCTGATATTGTCAAAATGCATAAAATGAAAAAACAAGTCTAACTAAAAAATATATTTTGAAAATTTTCTACTTATTTTAAATTGAAAAGAAGAGAATTACCTGAACGAAGGAGACATTATAGGGGAAGCCCTTGTGACTTTTGTCCTTGATGAATCCGGGAATATCGATAGGACCATAACTAATTGGCATTGACAATGGAAAAAAATTTGGATCCGTTTCCTTATTATTCGAACCATCCTCGGTACTCGCTGGCGATTGAATAAAATTAACGTAATGTTTGATATTTTTTCTTGCAATTGTTACTAAATCTTTATCAATATCGATACCGGTGACACTGCGTGGCGATAAATCACGACCCACTGACAATGTGATGTGACCAATATTACAACCAATATCAAGAATATCCTTATCGAAGAACATCTCCTTACGTTGAATGAAAGCCTTCAATCTTGGATCGACTTCCAAGTTTAAATTTCGATATCCATAATACCTGAAAAAATTGTAATTTTATTTTTATTTCCTTAATAATTAATAAAATACATAAAATAATTTATTATTTTCTTCCTAAATAAAAGGTAGTGAACTTTCAAACCTGTTATAATTTCCATACTGGAATTTAGCGTCCTGGGGTTTGAATTTTGGCATTTGTTGAGGTTTCTTCTTTTTATCTTGACTCGGCCTGTGGGTCAATCTTGGCTTCCAAGCTCCAGGTTGTGGAATAACGGGACTTACAATTTTATCCTTGGCGTCAAGTTTCCTTAATCTCTTATCCTTCGACTCCTCTAATACTTTTAATCGTAATTTCGCCTTATCCTTCACGGGACTCTCGACTTTTGGTTCTTTCGCCACCTCCTTTGTTGGCGAAGAACTACTTTCCACTGGAATTTTATCTTCAACCTCAACAACCTTTTCCATTGTGACATCTTTATTTTCCACGGTAATCACTTGTTCTCCAGTTTCTACTATTGCCTCACTATTACCAGAAAACGACAGTGCTCTCTTCTTTTTATTTCTATTTCGTTTTTTCGAATTCTTCTTTGTTGGTGAAATTAATTGCTTTTCATATTCCTCATTGTCATTACAATTACTGAGATTTAATGGATCGCAAATATTCGGTGGTATTATCACTTCGATTGCTTCTTTTCTATGTTTTGGAATGGGTAGTGGTGATGATTTTGGTGTAACTGCATTCATTGCTCGATTTATCTCCTCATCCTGCATACTATTTAAATTTAATGGATCACAAATATTACCGCCTAGAAGAAATTTTGTTGGTGGAATAATTGCGTCCTCCTTCTTACGACGTTTATGTGGAGGGAAAAATTTTCCATTCCCAGGAAATGTTTGTAAACGTTTACGGCCAAATTTAAAATGTCGATTGTCCTCGTGCTTATATTTTTTATGCGTTGGATTAAAAGGTTTACGTGCCTTCTCGTTTTCCTTTTTATTTGAGTTGTTCAATTTTGTTGCACGATCCACTTGTGCCGATGACATTTTGATAAATCTGAAAAAAACGAATTTTTAGTATTTTTTCTGTAATAATTATTCTTTTTGAAAATCTAACAGGCGAAAATATTTTTCAAAATGAAATAATTTTCTCTAAAAAAAATAGAATATTTCAAATTCTTTGAAATTAAAAATAAACAATTTTTTTAATATCAATATATTAAATTTATTAATTAATAATTAATAATTAATTTAATAATTCAACTTAATCAAAGTCGAAACTTGTAGCAATTTATACAATTTTTGTAATAAACGAACATCTTTAACCGTAAAAGGTCTCTAAATACTATTATCTATATTAAATTTTGTATATTAAAAATTCTAACCCCAAAATAACGTCTGACAAACGTAAATTAAAAATTGAATTCTTTATTAATGACATAAAAGTGACAAAATTATTTAACCAGTGCATCTAAAAAGTAATAAATTATATTAATAAAAAATGGGTCATTACCATAGATTTGAAGGGAATCGATGAAAAATATTGGCCTTTTAAAGAGCAACAAAATGATCGAAGATAGCGCGTAAATTTTATCATTCCCGCAAACACGCATGCGCTTCAAGAATAGTTTATGTGCATTTGGAAAACGGATGGTGAACAAAACTAATCTTTTTCATAAAGTTTTTTTCCCCTTGAATTTTTAACCAATGTGAACAAACTCACCTGAATTTAGATCCACGGCGTCTTTCCTTGCCACCTGCTGTACCTTTTAGGTGCGTTAAATACAAAAAGAATCCACTAATGACAACACTATTCACCAGTTCAAGTTAGAACACCCTTTTCTTTAGCATTGACGATGGCGAATTGCTGCTGTGCTTCCTCGATTTCGACTCCATTCTCCATATTTGCTTGCGGAAGCCGAGCGCGTGTCGTTAGTTTCCGCCAAACTTCGTAACCGCGCCTTACTTCAAGAGATCTGCGAAAATTTAAAAAAAATAATTACAAATTTCCTCCTTTAAAATCAATTTTCTCTTTAAAAATATTATTCTATTTTGTCGAAAATAATTTTTACTTTACTGCAGATTTACTGTTGATTAAAATTACTTATTTTTAAATTATAATTATTAATTTTGTTTATAACATTTTGAAATTTTTAACCGGAAACCCCTGGATGACTTTATGTGAACCCCTAATTTGAAAATCTGGTTGCATATCCGTTATTTCCGTTTTTTATTATTTAAAGAGCTATTAATACCTAATGGATGCCGGGAAGGAAGGTAAACAATTTTATCATAGATTTTTCGTATTAGAAATTTGTTTAAAAATTCAAAGTGCCAAATGGTTTGAAAGAAACTTTCCCCACTACGCAAGTACAGGTAAACTCCATTTATTTATAATGAGTAAGTTTCAAATGTTTTTCTTCTATTGTTTTTTTACATAGACGCCAATAGACGCACATTTCGCAACATCGTTTTTTTTCTACGATTTTTTCAATATTTTCGCGTCAGTGTTTATTTAGATTCACTTTCTATCTTTTTCCAAAGTTTCGCGAGTTTTATTACATCGAGAACTTTTTTTTTGTAGATTTGCAGAATAATTAGTAAGTTAATATTTTCATACTTGTATTAATTAGAGGTTATGATAAAATTTTTTTTTTAACTATTTCTCTATTTTTTACACAAAGTTTTTTAATTCTTTTTCCACTAGATTCGAATGAATACTCCGCCAACAATAAATTCAGTTTCACAACCAATGGCACCGACGAAATCAAGTAAAAATAAGCAACTCAATAAATTGGATATTCGACCGAAAAAATTGCTGTACAATGATCCGGATAATGAGAATGATTCTGTTGAAACATTAGTCAAGGATTCGATGGCAATTGAGGAGAAATTGAAAATATCGGGAAAGAAGGAAGAGATGAATGACTTTACAAAGCACATTGAACAAAATGAATTGGATAATGAAGCTGAGGGAGAAGGACAATTTGAACATTCCTATAATTTTCGACGAAGAAATAAAAATTCAAAGCAGGAATTAAAAAAAAAATCGACGCAGAAGAAAATTGTGGATAAGGAAAATGTTCAATTAGAAAATCCCAGCACCAGTGGTAATGAAATATTTTCTATTACATCCTCAAGATCCAATCCTAATATCCTAAATTCCCTGAGCCGAGAGGATTCTAATTCCAGTTGCCGAGGAAATTTCAATCACCTAAGAATATAAAAAAAAACGTTCTCCAATCAATGATCAATCCTGTTTATCCTTTTTTTTCTACTTTATCCTAAATAATATGAAAACCACTGTAAACTGAAACCTTTCCTTCAATATATTTGTTTCCACCAATAATTAATTTGTTTGTGTATTTCACTCTTAATTTTTAAGTTAAATTTATAAAATTTAAACGTATTTAAATTTCATAATACGATTTTTATTTTATTTTTTTCACTTTGTTTACAAATTAAAAAAACTTCTATTTTGATTATTATTTTCAAAGGTAAATGATTTTTTTTACAAGGAACTAATTTTCACCAATTGTTCGCAGTTTAAAACATCTAAAAAGTATGTATTCGTTTCCTAATAAAAAAACCAATTTTTAAATTACTATAAATTATTAGTATTAATATCTGAATATTTTTCTAGATTTTAATTCAATGGGTTTACCACTAACACCACCAAGTGAAGAATTAAATATGAGAGGAAAAGTTATTTGGCTTCAAAAACGAAGAGACATTGGTCTTTGGATTGAATGCTGTAATAAAAAGTGTAAAAAATGGAGATACGTCGAAGAATATCACGATCCAACTCAAGTGCCTGAAAAGTGGATTTGTTCCATGAATTCTGGTAACAATTTTTTTTTCTTAAATTTCATAGTTAGAAAAAGAAATAAATCTACCAAGGCATTAATTTAAGTTTTAAAAAATAAATTTTCAATGTAGATCAAAATTTCTCATCGTGTGACGCTCCTCAGGATTCGAATTATAATAAATGCGAAGACGATCTTATACTAAATAAATATAATGCAGGAAGCATTGTGTGGGGAAAAATTAACGGTTATCCATGGTGGCCAGGAATTGTCGACGATTGTCCCGAAACATTAAAATATTATGAACTCAAAGGTTCATCCTCAATTCCGGTAAGAAAAATTTTCTTTAACTTTTCCTAGAATCATTACAATAGTAATTATAGTAATATTAGTAACAATAATTTGAAAATTAAGCAGAAAATTTTCTTCACATGATTTCAATTATTTTTAAAACAATTTAAAATAAATTCAATTATTTATAAAAATAATAATAATTTTCACAGAAATTCAGTTATTTTTATAAACTTGAATAAAATTCGTTAGAAGAATTCAATTATTTCCAAGAGTAATAACATTCTTTTCAGAAATTCAATTATGTTCAAAAATAATAAAATTCTTCTTCGAAATTAAAATATTTTAAAAATCTAATATTTTAATAAAATTTCTCAAAAGAATTCAATTATTTAAAAAATATGTAATAAAAATTTGTTACAAGAATTCAATTATTTTCCTAAATAATAAAATTCTTCACAAGATTTCAATTATCAATTATATTTCATAATTTTTGCAAAAGTTCCTTCAGAATTTTTAAATACATTTGTTTTCAATTCAATTTTACAAAAATTCTAATATTCGGAAATTCTTTAATTATTTAGTTAGAAAATAAAAATTTGAAATAATTTAAAAAAAACCAATTATTAAACTTTTAAAAAAAAATAATTCTACAGAATTGTTAGTTAAAAATAAGAAAAATTCAAATTTTCCAATATTTTAATTTGAAACCTTTTCAAAATTCAATTATTTCTAAAAAATTATGCTACCTATAATGCTTTTAATATTCAATTACTATCTACAATTTTAACTGAAATTCATTTTTAATTCAATTTTTATTAGAAAATTCTACCAGAATTCAATTATTTATACACAAAAATAAATTATTTAGTAAATAATTGAATGTTTCTCAAAATTAAATTCTCATAAAGAATTTTATTAAAAAATTTCTTAATAATTATTGAATTTTTTTGACGAATTTTAATAAAATTTTCAAGAATATATATTCATACTTATTAATGACAATAATTGAATCGCTGTAAAAAGTTTTATTATTTATTAAAATAATTGAATTATTGCGAAGAAATTTCAGAAGAATTTGAATTATTAAAATTTTTCAAAAATCTAAGTTCTTTAAAATATTTTCTTAAATTCATTCAAAATTGAAATTATAATATAATAATAATTATATTATAAGTATAATAATTTTACAATAGTTCTTCAAAAATTAAGATATTTAAAAAAATTATGAGGCAAACAAAAAAAGACACAAAAATTCAGAATTTTCTTATGAATTCTAAAAATTAAATTTTTTTCAGTACGAAAATATTTAATATTTTTAGGTAAGGTATCATGTTACATTTTTTGAAAAAGATGTCTCGCGTTCGTGGCTCACTGAGAAAAGAATAAAACCTTTGAAAGAAGATGATGCAATACAACCGACAAAAAAACAACAGGTATAATAAGTTTTATGAAAATAGAAATTCAGAAAGTTTAATTAATTAAAAGAAAAAAAGAACTTTTTGTAATTTTCTTTCAATTATCATTAATACTAATAATTAATGTTTTTAAAATAAATAAAATTTTCCTTTTCAGCTTGTTTTCAAAGGAAAAAATTATGCAGAAGACGTGAAAAAATATTTGGCACTTGCAAAATCAGCATTACCAATTTCAATAACAGACAGACTGGAAAAATTTAGTTTCGTCTCACGTTATACCGGAAAAATAATAACTCCAGTTTCGAGAAGCACACCTCGCAAAAAGACACCATGCCGCATTGGAGTATTCAAATCGGCGAAGAAACGAAAATTTCCCACTAAATCAACAAATACCGAAATATCGCCGGAAAAAGAGATTATTAATTTCGAAAAATTGGATTCAATACCACCTGCCTTGAAAATAAAATCGGAAATTGATTCGCCTAAAAATTTCGATTCCCCTGTGGCTTCTTGTTCGAAGACAAATTTTCAAAATGACACGCAATTACCATCGACATCATCGAAATCACCTTTGGTTCCTTTTGAGTTTGTAAAACCACTTCCAAAATTAAATTTAAATTCACCTTCTGAATCGCCATTAACGAGAAAAATTACAAACACACCATCTGGTCCAATTCTATTCGATTCGTCAAAATTCACATCACCCACTTCATTAATTTCGACACCAAGTAAAAAAAATTTACCCCTATTAGAAGAAAGTTCTGAACTTTCTTTTGAATCATGTTCCGGGGAATCATTTTTATCGATAGGTCAACCTGCTTCACTACCAACAGAATCGGCCGCTGATTCACCAATTGAAAAAGAATTATCGCAATTATCATTAAATGCTGATGACGAAAAGGAAAATGATGACAGCGATGAAAGTCGAAGTTCATCATCACCAGTGTGCTGTGGTGGAAAAGAGGTGAATCGTCTAATGGTTGAGCTCACAGAACTTTACAATTCTTTTGATCCTGCAAAATTGGCTGAAATGGATCTTGAAGAATTAAAGAAAAGTTGTAATTTTGATGAAGATTCATCAACCGACTCGGACGAAGAGGAAGAGAGCAAATGGTTTTATACTTTTGAATCAGATAATGGAAGTAATTCCGATTCAAGTGACAGCGATGTGCCATTATCGAAAACTGGCAATAAATCACCGAAAATCGTCAAAAAAAGAATTGAGAATTTTGACGAATTTTTGGGAAAAGCGTTAGAGGAAATAAATAAAACTCGCGTTAAGCCCCCATCACCACCGCCGGAAGTTAAAGCAAAATTGAAAAAATTTCTGTTTCGCCGTTAAATACAAAAGAAAATTGCCACCTATTTCTTTTGTTTTTTAAATTTTAATTTAATTAATATTTTTCTATAAATTTTAAAAAACTCGTTAAATCTCCATCAACACCGATGGAAGTTGAAGAATTGAAAACGTTTTTATTTCGCTGTTAATTACGAAGGAAAATTGTAATATTTGTAAACATATTTTCCTTTTTTTTTAAATTTTCAATATTTTTTTTATAAATTTTTGCTGTGATTTAAAAAAAATTGTTAAATCTCCATCACCATCGATGGAAGTTAAAGAAAAATTGAAAAGGTTTTTATTTCGTTGTTACAAAAAATTGTAATATTTGTAAACATATTTTTCTATTTTTTTAAATTTTAAATATTTTTTGTTTATAAATTTTTGCTGTGATGATAGTGCAAACGCAGACAATTTTGTGTCTCTAATAAATATTCTTTTTCTATATATTAATGTTAAAGAATTTAAAAAAGATTATTTTTCTACTTTAAGTTGTAAAAAGTATTATTAATTAAATTGGTTCTGAAATAGAAATGTCTATGTAATCAGAATCAATTTTTAATTAAAAATATAAAAATTTTAATGTTGCTAAAATAAAGCATAGATATTTTTTCATAATACTTGATTTTTATTGACAAACTATCGTTCGGTATTTTTATTATTTTAAATAAGTTTAGATTATTTTAGTATTAATAATTTTAAATAATATTTATTAATCAATAATTTTAAATATTTATTATTTAATCTTTTCAAATAATATTTTATCGCAGCCAATATTATTTGAGAATTTTAAATTCAAAACAAGAATAATTAATTTAAATATTCGAAACTTTCCCGCTAATTTCAACGGCATTTCCTTTCTATCGGTCGGTAAAATCAATAACTTCTTGTTCTACTCAAAAAAAGCGGTTAGCAGGAAGCCTCGTGCTTGGTGATTAATTTATAAATTATTTCTTGTTGCAGAGCTGATTTACAGTTGTAATTAAGGTAAATAAGTTTCATTTAAATATTTGAATCTGTTAAATAAATTAACATTTAAATTAAAAAGTTACATACACTTTAAGCGAACGAAATTCACACGTTGCACAATTTTTAGGTTAGTTTTGTTACTGCAAAGCCTGCAAAGCTTGCAAAGTGTTTGAAAATTAATTTCTTTTTTAGTTTTCCTTAATAAATTTTAACACAAATATTTTATATTCAAAGCGAAAAATACAATTTTTATCAGTTCGAAAATATTCACTGCAGTTAACTGTCAAATTTCATTAGTTTTCTTTGTTGGAAATAATGGAAATAATTATTCGAAACTTATGTTCCAAAGCAATTTTCATGATTTCTTCTATTAAAATGTTAATAAACAAGTGTTTTAAATAAATTTTTTTAATTTGTACAAGCTAAGAAGTATAAATAATAAATAACTAATTGGATAAAAAGAATTTGTAATATTCTTCAGATTTTTTCTTCAGACATTTTTTCTAGTCCTACTACACTGAAAATTAATTTCAGAAATTGGGAGAAAATATGACTCAGCGGAAAAAACGATCGCTTTCAAACGAAAAAAAGGGATTATGGATTCAATGTTGTGATGAAAATTGTAAAAAATGGAGGTTCGTAAAGGAATATAAGGATCCGCTTTCGGTACCAGAGAAATGGTTCTGTTCAGAAAATTTCGGTAATTAATGAATTTGCAATTTTCTCTAATAATAATAATTAAAATATTAATAATTGAAAATAGATTAATTAAAATTACTAAAGTAGTGACTAAAATTACTACAGTATTTTTCTAAAATACATTTCTATTACTATTTAAAATTATTTCTCTTTTATAGACAAGAAATTTGCATCCTGCGATATTCCGGAAGAAAAAGCCGACGACGATCTCGTAGAAAGCGAATATGTTCCCGGAAATATTGTTTGGGCTAAAATTACCGGCTATCCATGGTGGCCAGCAATAATTGACAATTGTCCAGTGAAAAAAACTTTCTATGAACTTGGATCTTCCGAAATTCCGGTAAAAATGACAAATATCTCAAATAAAATATATTTTTCAATATTCTATTTTCTCTTACATGAGTATAAAAACTAAAATTCTTCTTATTTTCTAAATAATTTTTACTAAATTGGAACATTTTTTCAGCTTAGATATCACGTGACTTTTTTAGAAGAAAAGGAAAATCATTGTCAGTGGATAAAGTCTGATAAAATTAAACCATACAAGGAAGATGATGGTAATCAGCCAAAGAAAGCGAAGGTAAGTTTTACATTTTCTAAACATCAAAATTACCCTGCCTTGAAATTCTAAACAATAATTAAAAATACAAATTTATCTAATTTTTCGAAATTCAATAGTTATTACAGAATAGTCAATCGGTATCATTATGTCAATCTTTGGAAATAGCGAAATTGGCACTAACCCTAGACAATGAAAAAAGATTAAAGAAATACAGTATTTCGCTTCGAATCGATGATTTATTGAAATCAAATAATATACCCAAGAGAAGAAAAGAAAATGTAAAATACGTTTCCTCAAATATAAAAGAAAATAACGTGAAAAAAAATCTCGAAATTTCGACCGATAGAAAAGAAAATTCTTCTCAAAATCAAAATAACGTGAAAAAGAATCTCGAAAATTCGACAGATAGAAAAGAAAATTCTTCTCAAAAACAAAACGTGAAAAAAACTCTCGACAATACCAATAAAAAAGAAAAATCTTCTCAAAAACCAAACGTGAAAAAAACTCTCGAGAATACCAATAAAAAAGAGAAATCTTCTCAAAAACCAAACGTGAAAAAAATTCTTAAAAATTCGACCAGTACATTAGAAAATTTTCCCCAAGAAAGAAAAATCATAGACAGTAATTCGAATTTACAATCAAATTCTTTTATAATTTCGATGATTAATATTCCACGACAATATTGTACAATCCAATAATTTTCATTTTAACATCTTTTTTTGAATTCCCCCCCAAAAAAAGAAAATATTTAACTCAATTTCGTTTTCACTAATTTTAAAATGAGCAAAAAATCAAATTTTTTCTAATTATTAGAAATTTTAATTTAAATTTAATTTAGAAATAAATTAATTCATCGGTAAAGAAGTTTTGTACTTAATTGCCGATTTCTCTGAAGAGTGTCAGCACTGTTCAGTTTTTTAGTTCCCTATTTATCTTTAAAATTAATTTTCCAATAAATAATGATTATTTAATTATAAAATTTTCAGTAATACTAAATATAAATACTGTTTATGGTTTTTCCAATTAGCATTATTTATATTTCACATTATTCTAAGCTATTATTTAATCTAAATGGTTTTTATGAAAATATTCTGTGAAAATTTTCATAAAATCCTTTTTTTTATTTAGAAAGTATGTTAATAATTAATAGATTAATAGAAAATGTGTTTTAATTAATTTAGAAAAATTTGTTGTAATTGTTAGTTAAATTTTATTTATTGTAAATACCATTAAGAATAAATTTAATTTTCTCTAAGGAAGAAATAGTAAAATTTGTAAAAAGTATTAGAAATTGTTACTAATATTGTCATTAATAAACGTATTATTAATTTATTATTTATTATTATTTAATAATAATTAATAATTAATTATTCAATTTTTCAATTCTATTCTTTTATGTTTAGTTTTTCGGTTTTTTTTTCTATTATTCTTAATTCCTGACTGAATTAAAGAAATGATTTTATCAGTATACTATGTTTATAAAAGATTGTTTCCAATTCGAAATAATGGGAAAAATGATTATAAAAGTTGAATATTTGCACATTTGTAAATCGTTATGATAATTAAGTTAGCCAAAGAGTTCGATAGGGTCACCGGGGTGTCATTAGAATTGTGACGAAAGCGGATGCGCTGACCTTACGATGTCAATGGTGAAGGTTCGTTTTGTCATTTATGCCAAGAAAAGGGAAATTTTTTTTCAACACAATACTTCCAACTATTGGGAATCAATCAATTTTTTTTTTCGTCTCAAAAGAATTTCGAATTTTTCAAAAAATATTTTCTCTTCGAAACTTCTATGTCCTAAAATACGTTACATTTTATTAATTATTAATTATTAATTATTATTTAAATAAATTAAATATTAATGATTAACGACAATAATTATTAATATTAATGACAATTATTTAATTAGTAATAATAAAAAATAATATTCATACAATAATTGATTTTAATTAATTACTTAGTTAATATTAATAATAATAAAATTCGTACAAAAATAAATTAAATTATCAACAATAAATTGATTAATAATTTATTTAATTTATTTACTCTTTTGTAGTTAATTATTTTCTTTTAAAATTTTTTCCAAATAAACTGCCACAAAATTCACACTAGTTTTATAAGAAAATTTACTTTTAGAATTCTAAAGAGAATTTTTTTTCTAAAAATACTTTCTTTACAAAACAAATTTTTTTTTAACTGTCAATTTATTTTCTTGCAATGAATTAGTATCTTATGTTTCTCTTTTTTTTTATATTATGCAGTCATCTGTCATCATTCATCCAGGAAGATGACTAGTAAGTTTGACCATGATTAGAACTTTTTTTTTCTCTCTCTCTCTTCTGATTGAAATTGAAAGTAAACAAAAGTTGCAGATGTATTTTTTTTATCATAAACTATCCTAGAGAATATATGCGGATATAATTTCTATCGATAGGTAAAAAAAGAAAATAATTATTCCCCCCAAAAAATTTTTATTCCAATTCTTTTCATTATTTCAAAAATAATAAAAGAAAAAAATTCGGAATAATTTTCGAAATCGTTTTATAAAAATTATACTTATTATCATTGAATATGAATAAATTAACATAAATTCCTTTTCGATTTAAACATAAAATTTTATCTTTTCAAAACTTTCATATTCAAATGATAATTTATGAAAAGTTTATTGTATCGAATTAAAAAATTAACAACTAATATTGAAGAACCAGATGTCAAAATAATGAGAAAAAAAATGAAATGTCTTTATTAGTCAATTAGCTTCGAGTTTTTAAATGTGTATTTGTATTTAAATATTGATATTTTCATTCTTTATATTTCGTAAAGAACCAATTTTTTAAATTTATTATTCTTATTAGTTATTATAATTATTATAATCACATAATAATTATTAAATAATATAAAAATAATTAATGCTATTATTTTCATTATTATTGTTATTATAATTATTATTATATTTTTATTGATTTTATTATTTTCATTATTATTATCACCAGTTTGAAAAATGTTTTTTCTGATTTTATTAAAAAATAGAAAATATTTTTAACAAAAATGTAAATTTTTATCAAAAATATTAATTTTAAAAAATCTCTTTTCATTTAAAATTTCACAAGTGATAATGAGAGAATTATCGCTATGGGTTCGTCCCTGTAATCATTTCGATATAACGGTCCGACGGTTGCCACTCGAGTTCTAATCGGGTTATCTGACCCTTAAGTTATTTATTTTTTTCTTATTTTTCATTATCATTTTCCAATTTTACGGTTCTTTTTAAAAATTTTGAAAAATGACTACCAATTTTTCCCCTTAATTTATAAAATCTTTTTGAAAAAAAAATTATAATTCAGCACTTTCACAAATTTTTTTGTACTTATATTTGAAAAAAGGACAGTAAATTCGATAATAAAAATTCAATTTCTGTATTATAAAGAAATCTCTATAAAGAAAGTGAATAATTTAACGATTCTAAGAAGAAAAAAAAATGAAAGAAATTCCAAAAATATTTATCGAAACGAATTATATTAATTTTGAAAAATTGTAAAAGAAAAATTCTAATTTCCATTATAAAAAATATTAAAAATAATTAATAATTAATAACGATTTTTTTGGACAATTATTTAATTGTAAAGAAAATTCGTAAATTACAATTAAATAATTAATTGTAATTAATTTAAATAATAAATAATTGTCAGTAAAAAAATTTCCGTAAAGAATTGTTTAAAATAATAATTAAATAATTGTTTAAAAAAATCAGTAAATTGAAGGCAGTCGAAATATTTAATATCATTAAAATATTATTAGAAATTCCATATTTTTTTTTGTACTTTTCTTTCCTCTTCGTAAATTATTCCATTTTTGAATTTATTTTCATTGGATTAAAATATTTTGCTTAGAAGAGTTATTCTTTTTCCTTTTTTTTTTTATAATTCAAGACATTAGATTATCTTTTTCTTCGTGAGATTTCAGAAAAAGTGTTCATATATTTTTCGTTTATTATATACACTGTTTGATATGAATCATATACATATATGTATGAATCTTATCATTTTTTTCGACTATAATCTCATCAAGTTATTTTTGATAACGTAATAAAAAAAAAGGGAAAAAAAACTTACAAGTATTGAAAAATACCTTCTGGTATGTGAACTTATCCGCAATCGACTTTCATTATAATTTCCTTATTGCCTGTTGATGAATTTCGAATGACAAGAAAGGAAATAAGTTTGGAAACTCGCTTATGGTGAAAGTAAAGTAAAGCAGTCTTCTTTTTTTTTTAATGTTCTCGAAAGTGAAAAATAATTATTTTTAACGGTGTTCATAATTTTGTGGGTTTTTTTTTCTTATTTAAAAAAAAAATTCTAATTTTGGATAGATTATAGAATATGTGCGAAAGAACTGTTCGTTATTGATCTTTAAGTTTTCTTTATTTTTCTTAAGATCGCGAGTAAGTATTTATATAAGTTTGGTAAAAAAAATTTTTCTTTTCCTCCTTCACAATATACTTATTATTATATTATACCTGACATAACGATTATTCTCTTTTAGACTTGGGAGAAACCGGTTTCAGGGTCAGGCTTTCTTTTTTTTCGATATCTTGAGACGAAATGAAGTTTCAGGGGATTCAATTAAATTAGAGTTAAAAAGTGCATCGGTAATAAAACCACGAGTTACTCTTCTTTTAATTGATCTACTGTAAAATCATTGTTTGTTTATATATTTTACGATCGATTTAAAAATAGAGAGAGAGAGAGAGAGAAAAAAAGTTATTTCATTTTTAATTTAAAATTGTTTTTAATTATTAATTTTTACCGATAAATTAATTTACTACTTCTTTTGATTAATTTAAATTATTTAGTCGCTTAACTTACTGTTTAGTCTTTCGTTTGCTCCACAGAAATTTTCCACTATTTTATTTTTTCATCTCTTATATTTGAATAAATAAATAATTCCATTTTTTAAATTTCTATGTTTTTAAAGTTTCGCATTAAGAAAAAGATTATTTTTTTATTAAGAAAATTAACACCTTTTATTAATAATATTTTTTTTCCATAAAATAAATAAAACTTTTTATTAATAATAAAAAATATTTCTTTTTACTGAAAAAAAGATCAGTACAAAAATTATTTTCTTTTCCAAATAAGAAAATTTTTTTTTATTTTATTGAGATCACTAAAAATTAATATTTTTATTATTAATAAAAAATAAAATGAATGTTTAATCAATTAATGTAATAAATAATTAAAATTAAAAATTGTATGAAATAAAAAATTCTAGTGAATATTGTGACAATTTATTAATTTATTTAGTATTTATTTAGTAATAAAAATCGAATATTATTTATTGTTATTTAATTTTGTAAATAATTATTTTGTAGAAATATTCTTTCATGTTTTGTAAAGAGAATAAATTTAGAAAAATAAATATTGAGCAAAATCAACGACCAAATGCAAATATTTTCATCGGAGGTACTCCATCTGATTACTCACATTGCTCCACCTTGCTCAACGTTCACGATTCATCAATAAACGTTGATCACAAAGTGGCATGGTCGCGACAACCCATAAAAAAAATTTCCCCTTTATGTACTTCCCATTAAAAAAAAAATTAAGAAAAAAACGAATATTTTTGAAATTAGCCACAAAAACGCAAAAATAATTATTTTAATTATAAATTATAATAAATTTTCGTAATTAATTATTAATAATTTAAAGAAAAATTTGTAAAAGTTAAAAGTATTTAAATATGCAAATTTAATTTCGAACGAAAAGTTTTGGGTAAAAATTAATTTAATTGAAAAAAAATATATGAGTTTTTTAGTATAATATTTTACTTAGATTGCCAAATAAAAATTTAATTCAATTTAATTAATAAATAAATTTAATTAACTATCGTTAACCTACAAATAAAGTTTTTTTGTTTTTTCAAATTTAAGAGAAACATTAACAAAAGAAACTCGAATATTTTCGAAATTATTCACCAAAAAAAGTAATTACTTTAATTATTTTAATGATTATTATTTAAATTATCATAATGAATTATTATTAATAATAATTAAAAAGAAAATTTGTACCAGTTAAAAGTATTTAAATATGAAAATTTAATTTCCTACAAAAACTTTTAGGTAAAAAATTATTTTAATTGAAAAAAAATTCAACAAGAATTTCTGTATAATTTCACTTAGATTGATAAATAAAAATTTAATTATTAAATAAAATCAATTAACTATTGTTAGCCTATAAGTAAAATTTTCTTTCGTTTTGCAAATTAAAAAAAAAATAAAGAAACTTGAATTTTTTTGAAATTATCCACCAGTCATAATAATTATTTTAACAATTAATAATTAAATTATCACAAGTAACTATTAATTATTAATAATAAAATTATGACAATTAATTATTAATAATAAAATTATGACAATTATTAACAATAAAATTATCACAACTAATTATTTATTAATTAATTTATTAATGATAATTTAAAACAGGAATTTAAACCAATTAAAACTATTTAAATTTGCGAATTTAATTTCTGATGAAAAAATAAATAAAATAATTAACCTAATTGAAAAAAGCGCAACAAGAATTTTATTTTAATTAATATTATTTTTTAAATTTTTAATTAAAATTAAATAATATTTTAATTTACATTAAAAACTAAAAATTAAATTAATAAATAAAATTCATTTACTTCTTTCAATCCAGAAATAAAATTTTCTATACGTTCTTGCAAAAAAAAAGTTGATAAAAAGAAATTGAAAATATTTGAAATTATTCACTAAAAGTCGAAATAATTATTTTAATAATTAATAATTAAATTATTTCAATTAATTATTAAAAATATTTTCAAAAAAAGCCTATACCAGTTAAAAGTGCAAATTTCATTTCTTACGAAAAATGAAAGGTAAAAAGAAATTAAAATTAAAAAATTAAAAAAAACTTATTAAATGAACAAAGAGTTTCAGTATAATTTCGTTTACATTGACAAATAAAAACCTAATTAACAAATTAAATTAATTACTCTCTGGTGCAGAATTTAATTAAAAATACAAAAAAAAAAAAAAATATCTCGTTTACACAAAAAATTTAATTCTCTAAAAAATTTGATATTTTTACAAGAACGCAAAAGATTTACTGCACAAAAATTTTGATACTCGAGCAAGAAACTATTTTTGAACGTACTACAAATTGCGTCAAACAATTGTTTACCTGTCTGAAAATTCAAGTTTATAAATCACAGTGTTAATAAAATTTACCAAAATTTTCTTCTTGTCCCCAAAAATTATATACATTTTGTC